ACGTGCCCTGTAGCCAAAACCTCTAAAAAAAAAAAAAATTCATAAGATTTAAAATTTTCCATTAAGTCCAACTTATCATTTTTTTTGTTACCAGTATGTTTAGTGTTATATCCAAGAAATCACTGTCAAATCTAAACGAGTTTTAGTTTTAGCTTCTACATTTAGTGTTTGACCCATTTTTAATTTGTGCATGTGGTCTGAGGTAAGAGTCCACCTTTGTTCTTTTACGTGTGGACATCTGGTTTTCCCAGTGCCATCTACTGAAGACTGCCCTTTCTCCATTGAATGGCCTTAGTACACCAGTCAAAGTGATCTGGCCATCTCTGCAAGGGTTTATGTCTAGGCTCTCTATTCTCTTCCATTGGTCTATATGCCATACTGTTGGGTTTCTGTGTGTGTGTGTGTGTTTTATTTTGGAGAGATTTTCGTTATAGGGCACATGTGCTTGCCAGACAGAGAGAGAGAGACAGAGAGACAGAAAGTGAGAAATCACCCCCCAGGGTGGATGGCCATGCTGCAATCCCTTCTCCTCCATTCCCCTCTTGGGATCTTGGGCATGCACACACATGCGCCCAGCGTGAGTTTAAGCCACCGGGTCCGGGATGCCAGGGACTCTAGGATACACAGCAGGGAAGGGGATTGGGTGGCCATAGGGCATGTGTGTTTGCTGGAGAGAAACAGAGAGAAGGAAAATGAGAAATGAGCCCCACCCAGGGCAGATGGCCACACCATAGTCCCTTTCTAGTCTCCTGTTGGGGTTCTGGGCACACATACATAGGTGCCTGGCATATTTTCCAAGTCACTCTGGGTCTGGGACACAAACCATGGAGTTAGATGAGTAGGATCCAGAACCTTAACCACCATGCCACCTGTTGACCCCGGGCCCCTTTTTCTTTTCTTTCTTTATTTTTGAGAGATTTTTGCTAGAGGATGCATGCGCTCACCAGAGAAACAGAAAGTGAGAAATCTTTGTTTGTTTGGAGAGGTTTTTTGCTATATAGGGTGTGTGCGCTTGACAGAGAGACAGAAAGCAAGAAATCATCCCCCCAGGGGGGGATGGCCACACTGCAATCCCTTCTCCTCCATTCTCTTCTCGGGACCTTGGGCATGCACACAGATGCACCCAGCATGAGTTTTAAGTGCCCAGTATGAGTTTAAGCCAACAGGTCCAAGACTTGAACCGTGGTTAACTACATGGGAGTTCAGCAACATAGCCATTACGCCAACTGCTGGTCCCCAGAAAGTGAGGAATGGCCGTGTTACAATCCCTTCTCCTCCATTCTCCTCTTGGGATTTTGGGCATGCACGCAGATGCACCCAGCATTAGTTCTAAGCTGCTGGGTTCAGGATGCAAACCACAGTCAACTATATGGGAGTCCAGAGACGTAACTGCTATGCTATCTCCTGGTCCCAGTCCCACCTCCCACCTCCTTTTTATTTTTTATATTTATTTTTTTAATTTTTATTTTTTGGAGAGGTTTTTTTTCACCTTAGGGCGTGTGCGCTCGCCAGACAGACAGAGAGAGACATAGAGACAGAAAACGAGGAATCACCCCCCAGGGGGGATGGTCACGCCACAATCCCTTCTCCTCCATTCTCCTCTCGGGATCTTGGGCATGCACGCACATGCGCTCGGCGTGATTTTAAGCCACCGGGTCCGGGACGCGAACCGCGGTCGACTATGTGGGAGTCCAGCAATATAGCCATTACGCTAACTGCTGGTTCCCACCTCCTTTTTAAAGAGAAAAATACTCTAGCAGAGCTCAGGTCTGGAAATAGTGACATAAAAATTTATGTCTTCAAATGTAATAACTTCCAACAAATTACTCTCAAAAAGGTCTTTTTAAGTTATAATTTATATATATAAAAAAAAGTAACAGAACCAGCAGTTAGCATAATGGCTATGTCGCTGGACTCCCACGTAGTCGACTGCGGTTCGCGACCCGGACCCGGTGGCTTAAAATTCACGCCGGGCGCGTGTGCGTGCGTGCCCAAGATCCCAGGAGGAGAATGGAGAAGGGACTGCGGCGTGGCCATCCCCCCTGGGGGGGGGATTTCTTGCTTTCTGTTTCTATGTCTCTGTCTGGCGAGCACACGGGGCCCTATAACGAAAACCTCTCAAAAAAAAAAAAAAAGTAACAGGTATACGGATGAAAAGTTAAGTGTTGATGATAATGTACATGGTAATATCTTTAACTTGACTGATATGTACTGCATTCATGCTGGGCAAAACCATCTTGTACATTGTAAAGATGAATAGTCAGGGGGGTCAGCAGCGTGGTGGTTAAGGCGCTGGATTCTCCCACATGGTTGACCACAGTTTGAGCCCTGAACCTGGAGCCTTGCTTTCTTACTTCCCCTCCCCTGTCAAATTAAAATAAATGAGTGGCCAGCAGAAGGCATGGTGGTTAAGGCACTGGACTCCCACATGGCTGATAGTGGTTCAAGTCTCAGATCCGATAACTTGCTTTCTCACTTTTTCTCTGTCTCACTCTGGTCAAAATAAAAAATAATAATGATGATGAATAAAATAAAATAATTCTTAAAAAAAGATGTATAGTCAGTACATTTTAAAAGTGTAAAAAAATAACAAAATTATAACCACAAATGAGGCTGGCAGGTGGCGTGGTGGTTAAAGGCACTGGATTCCCACATGGCTGACCATGGTTTGAGTTCTGGACCTGGCAGCTTGCTTTCTTACTTTCCTCTTCTCTGTCTCTCCCTCTCTGTGCAAATTAAAAAACAAAACAAAACAAAAATGGAATTCAATAAATAATTCTTAAAAAAAAATTATAACCACAAAAAAACATAGTCTAAAGAAGGTCAAAGTAGGAGCAGGCCCTGGCTGACATCTACATTCACTTCAGGGGTCTGTGGCCACTGGTGCAGGCTGCTGGAGGTGAGTAGTGGGTGGTGGTCCCAAGCTGAGGTCAGCGAACTTTTCAGAGACAGAATTGAGAATGTTTGGAGACTGGAGGAAAGAATCAGTTACCCCAAGGATCTCGACCAGCTGCTGGAAGGCGATTTCAGCACAGGGAGCAGGCCAGCCAGACACGTGGATTTGCTATTTTGGTGTTTGGTGCCAACTTGCACGTACCACGCCATTTAACAGACACCGAGAGAACATGGACTAAGTACGTGAACTGTTCATGGAAAAGAGCAGAACAGAGCCAAGTCCGCATGACCTCGGGAAGTGGGAGAGTGTGCAGGCCTGGCTGTAGACCCCTGGGCGCAGGCCCTGTCATGGACTACCCTGTGCCCCTGTGCAAGAATCTAAGCACAGCTCCCTCACCCTAAGGTGGGAAAAAGCTGGTCCATGAGAATGTCTGCAGAGAGGATGGATCCAAAGTGCTGCTCAGGAGGCCTCAGTGAAGGCCCAGACAGCAGAGGCCAAGCATGTCCACTAGGTTTATGCTGTCTGTGGGGCAGTGGGAGAGGCGGCCCCTCACCCAACCTCCGAACTCTGGGAATCCCAGTAAACACCAGTGTCACCCCTACACACACACACACACACACACACACACACACACACACACGGAGCGCAGAGGGGGGAGAGGCACGGCCTAGCACGCTGGCCCCCTGGCAAAGCACCCCACCCCCGTAGGGCTTCTCTGCTTTCACACCAGCTGTGCCCTTCTTCCCGACAACCATGTTCCAGGCCCCTGGGCCAAACTCTCCCAGGCTGACACACAGCTAGCCACAGCTGGGGATGGACGACGCATACCACCGGCTAGTGCCCCAGCGCCAGCCAGAGCCCAGCCCGCGCGCATGCTCTCGGAGAGGGCCCCCCCCCCCGACATCAGCCGTCCATTCCGACAAGGGCGAGGACCGCACCCTGGCTGGCCCACCTGGAGAAGGGCGTGGGGCCAGCGCCCTTGAGCTGCAGCTCCCAGCGCTCGCCGGCGGCCGTGCACACCTCGCCCAGGTACATGGCGGCGCCGTCGCCCAGCTGTCCGGCAAACTGGCCAAACTGGTGGCCGCAGTAGCAGTGCGCGG